CCGTATCTCTATGAGATCCATAACAACCACAAAATTCCAAACATCTTAAAGGCACTCATCCTTGATAAGGCCCAAGGCTGGGAGCACACAAAGTTCACAATCATTAGAAAAACACTGCTCTGAACCCAGCCACAGAAGAAGAAGAAACGGTGTTAACACCAAATCACTCTCAGATGTGCAGAACTTGCAGTGTAACACGTCTGTGGTTCTCACCAGTAACAGTGATATAAATATTTCGTAGTACTGTGTTATCTTTAGATTAAGAAATACCTTTACCTACTAGCAGAGAGCAGAATAATTTATAGAACCTTGGCTTTGCTGCTTCCAGTCCAGTACTCGAGATTTTCATCCAATTATATTTCACCTCGTGTGTTGCCAGGGTGATTTGCCCTAAAGCCTCCAGAACCGATAGTGTGGGCACAGAGCAAAATGACATGGCAACGAGGTTGTTTCTTTAACCCTTTTTGCCACAAGGCCTATTAGCTGACCTACAGGTGTGTGGCCGATTCAAGTGATTTTTGATTGGACGGTCTGAGAACGAACAGTCTCCATTGGAGCAAACTGCACCCAGAGACGAAAATTAAGTTCTCTCTACGTCCAATGCTTCTGCTGAGTGGACATTTTCAGTTTGAAGCGAAGCACATGTGTCCAACTCATGGCCCATGGGCCAATAATAATAATAATAATAATAATAATAATAATAATAATAATAATAATAATAATAATAATAATAATAATAATAATAATAATAATAATAATAATAATAATAATAATAATAATAAAAGTATATGCTTCTCAGTTACTTAACCTGATTTAATTATCTTTTTGAGTAGTTACATCAATAGAGGGGAACAGTATTGCTGATGTGCCCACCCCGCAGTGAAAATGACTTTGACACCCCTGACGTAAATCATCAAAAACAGGACTGACTGGACGTTCAGCATTAGCATGGATAGTGGATGGATGGAGGTAGTAAAGGACTTGTTGTTAGAACTGGTACACACATATAGTCTGTTATTGAACTCATCTTAAGGAATGAGAAGAGAGACAGTTGTATATAATCAGTTATAATCAGTGTTGTTTTTTTAATAATATTATAAATGGATATTATGTTATTATTAATCTTTTTGATGTTCATTCTGGCGCACCCGTGGCTGAAATTACACAGGAATGGATGGTTTCTATAGACACAAAGACGTGGATCTGTTCAGGCAGGACGCCACTGAAGGCCTAGGTGAGAAACACATGTAATCCACTGTCTTTTTAGAACTCTAATGTATGTCAAGTAACATGTACAGCACATGCATTTATTAATACAGACACGTAAAGTAAAAGTACAGCAGAGCCATCCCTCATCGTCCACATGTAAACATTGTCTCTGAGCCATTTTTATTACTCGTGTGTGAAGTAAAAAGTACTTTAGTGGTATTTCTTATAACATACATATCAAAAGGTAAACCTAACATCTCCATCTACTTCTTCTCCTTCGCCAGAACATTCTGTGTGTGCGTGAGTTACTGCAGATTTATAGGCATTTTCCTGAAAACCTTGACTGAGTTATGGGGCTGTAAGTGTTCTACAGAGCATTAATCTAGCATGATTTACTCTTCAAACACAAACTGTAAATTTAAGTCCAAAATTTATAGACCACACCACTACATATAACTGTACAAGAGAATAAGAGGCTACAGGCAGAGACGTCTTCCTTGACCAAGGTGAACTGCATTACGCAAAGTAAACCGGTTACGTGGAGTCTCCGCGATGATGGATTCTCTAGGTGAAGGAGACCTTGGCTGGTGAAGATCATTGGACACTGGGATAGCACACATTTGAGTATGTTTAAAAAGCTGCAGTCAGTCATCGTTACTGCAGATGTAATGACCATCCGTCTGTGGAGACCTTGTCTGTCATCCTTTTGATGATATTATGTTCTGGATGGGTGACAAGATGGCAGTTGCTTGGAAGCAGATTCAGGGTGTGGGCATGAGACAGACTCATATTATCAGGGTCAAGAGCTCCCCGCTCCCCCTGTGTTCTGCCTGCCCAGTGATAATGATGGAGGCTTGTCGATGCTTCCCCAGAGTGTGCTCCTCTTCCCTGCCAGCTCCCTCTGTGCTGCTTGGCACTCGGAGCAGTCTCGGCCAAAGTAATAGCCAGTCAGCAGGCAGTGTGAGGGGAGGAGAAGGTAGGGATGACAGGAGAGGAGAAGGGAGAGAATGGGTAAGGAAAGGTAAGGAAAGGTAAGAACAGGAAAGGAAAGAAAATGAGAACCGTGAAGTGGAGTGCAAATGAGAGAAAAGGAGGGGAGAGAGTAGGAGAGGAGAGAAGATGACAGCATTCAGAAGCATGAGTCACTTTCATGATATCTGTGAAAATGAATGGCATACATTCAGGAGCAGGACTAAACAGTGGGGAAGCTTAGTCAGTGTTGAATGATTTAACAGCAACGGAGACTGTAATAAAAAAAAAAAAAAAAAAAAAGAAAAAACGACATTTCCATCCAAACATCAGTTAACGTTGCTCAGAAACCAGTCACAGACCGAGGTTCAGATGAATCATTTCGTCTTTGTGGAACTTCATGCTCACTCGTGTCATCGTCCCTACCCAGAAGTCCCATCTCCTGACTGGATCAGATCCGATAAGAGCACGGCTCATCTTGCAGCAAATGTGGCTCGATACATGATCAGGAAGTATAGATTCCTGTCACATTGCCACAGCCAGTACTACGGCACACAACAATTATGGACGCATTATGAACAATTTCATGGCTGAGCTCCTCCTGCCTCTCGGCTGTATGTTTCTGAGACAGATCTAGCGCTGTCAGTCCTGCCACACGTCTGCCTTCTGGCCTATGTTTGGATTTCCTCATTCACTCTGACATATGTGGACATTCCATGCTGCCTGATGAGAGGCTGAGAGAGGCATACAATAAATGTATTCTGCCATGTGTTCCAGTGCATATATCTGTAATGTACAGTATGTATGTACTGGACGGAATGTGGATGTATGCACCAGTGTTTGACATTGGAGATGAGCATATGGCATTTCAAAAAACAGTATCCATATTTAGAGTTGGGCAAACCATGGCCCACGGGCCAGATACAGCTCGCAGGGCTTTCTAATCCATCCCTTCACACACTGCTACAAGTTATGGTAAAAACTGATGTCAAACCTTCTGTTTCATGCTTGTCCCATTGAATACCGAACCGGACCGCCAGCCACATTCTGAACCTCATTTTAGTCCTTGATCCAAAAAGTTTCCCAACCCCTGTATTAGTGATTTCCTTTCTAGAGCTGTGGCTATATATACGCTGACCACCTTACCTAATCTGCCCTCTGATTGGACCCTGTCTGGTCTAGAACCACACTGGTTGGCTGCAGATACGGCGCAGGTCACAAAGAGGACAGAAGCTCATGGAGTGTGAAAATCACTAACCCTTCACCGCCTCCAGACTCACAGTCCTAATCCTTCCATGGCTTTAACATCAGCACAAAATTGTGTTCCGAGGCCTTCTGGAAGATGTTGTCAACGGTCTAACGATTGTAAGTGAAGTTTCTCTTCACCAAATACTTCACTAAGTGTACGAGAGCATAGAGCATTTAAAACAGAGTTGAGAGGGAATCCTATGGATAAAGCTGGGTTTGGCAGATATAAGCAGACCTGCTGGACTTTACCTGCTTGACTGCCCTTTGGTGAACTGTGAAGTCTGGTGGAGGAGGGATAATGGAACATACTGTGGAACAGATTTTATAGAAGTATTTCATTGGTAGAGCAAACAGCATACCTTCAAGGAACAGGAACACTTCACTCCATGGCACCAAACGGGAAAGTCCAGGCATTTTTTTTTTTTTGGTTCATGTTTTGCAACACAGACCAATTTTGTTTATAGTTTGCATTCATCAAGGCTTGTTTTGTGTTTCCTTTTCCCCCTGATTTCACCTGCTATATTTTTCATCTAAATTCAATTGGGTTACAAGACAAGAACAATTCTCAGACAAAGGGCTAACTCTAGTCCCTCTTTCATAAAACAAAATATTGTGCAAAATGTCAGCCTACTTAATTCAAAAGACATACAGAGTGCAGCACTGGTGATAAGCAAGTTGCTACTTCAGTGGCTTCACTGTGGAATTGGGCCACTTTTGAAGTAACGCCTCACACTGGATCTTTTTGTCCGCAGGCTGAGAAGACACGGTTTGCATATTAGTATATGGCAAAAAAAAATTAAATATCCACATCTAACACAAACACGCGCTACAGCTTGTCGACACCAGGAATGACATCCATCTTATCGTGTTAGTTTAAAATAGACAGGAGTTAAAATAGATACATGGAAAAAAAAATATTTGAGCACAATGTTATAAAATATTTCATGATGTCGTGTGATATTTGCAGGTTCAATTTTAGCCATAAATAATAATTAAAAAATCACTTGATTTATTTTTTTTGTCTCTCCTTGTTAGGAAACTTGATGACAGATTTGATGACAGTAGATTTTTACAGGCATTGCGTGACTTGTGTGATTTTCTGCAACACAAAAAGTGAAAAGATGTAAGCTATGTCGTGTGATATTTGCAGGTTCAATTTTAGCCATAATGTATTGCAGTAGTTGATGATAAGCCTCTTAGTGTGCATTCAGCTCTGGTCTTTGAGCACGCTTTTTAAAAGGCGCCGTAACTTGTAACCCAACATTATTGTATATGCATGTAGACATTTCCTTGCACTTACAAGAGATATTATTATATATATTTACAAGAAACTGTGAAGTAGAGCATACTCAAAATACTTATCAAAATGTTTTTTTTTAAATGTTGACGTATAAAAACACAGAGTTTGAATGGAATCTCCTTAAAGGTCAGAGTATAATTTTTATTTTAATTTATTACATAAAATTAACACGTCAAACTTGGGTTTCATGGGTAACACTGATGCACAGACTCCAGCCCAGTAGGTGGCAGTAATGCACCTAAAATGTGTTTGCATTATGCAGTATCACTGCAGCCAATCCCAGCTGTCGATGGATTCATTAAATAACATCAGAGCACAAGAAACGCTAGTAACGCGTGAAGGAAAATCAGTCCACAATGCTTCAAAGTGTCTGCTAAATGTATAAATGTCAATTTATTTTAAATTCCCAGTGTGCGAAACAGGTCGCTGTGAGAGGACACCACAGTTCCCATAGCTTCGACAGTCGAAAGTCTGTAAATGGTGACGCAACATTAAATAAAAATCTCTGCCAACAAGCCAAAATTCTCTTGTGCTCTTAATGCATAGTGTGCATTTTCTTCTATCTGGAGGTGCACTAGCGCCCCCTGCAGGGGTGGACGGTGTGCATCAGTCTTGCTGTAGTGTCAGAAATTGAAGAACCCAGTGAATAAATGTGTTATTTTCTGAGGCATTATTTAGTGTGTGTGTTAATTTCAAATAAAAATTTAAAATAAAAATAAAAATACTAATTGAATTAGTTCATCTACTGACTTGGTGCCAGTGTTTTGCCGGAGCGACACACACGTCCGTGTTGGTCACCTGGTCCCAAACGCATTCTGTCATTTCCTATCTCTCTGCTGTCCTGCGTTCGGGGTGAATCTTATTGATCAGGGCAGACCACAGCGGACTCAGAGGTGGCTCCCCGTGTTCAGCATTTTGGACGGACCTGACAGGGATTGTTGTCCGCTCTTCTACGACACACTCTCGACGTGGAACCCACCCGCCTGGCTACCGGGTTGATCGCTAATGATCTCTGCGTCGCGGTGGAAACGGCGTGCGTTTGTGTGACCGTGTGCTTGGTGGACGGAGTGGATGCAAACGAGCAGATGGAGGCGCAGCAACAGCAGCAACAGCAGCAGTAGCTCTCCTCTCAGTGACTGTAACAGAAGCATCTCCGCTCTGCTGCAGCTGTGAGGGAAAAACACCAAACCGGATCCTGTGATTTTTTTAAAAAAAATTATTTTAAAAGCGACATCAGCGGCTGGTTGTTTCCCACACATGTTGGAATTTGTACAACAGCGAAAAGCCATGGAGTCGGAGTGTGCTGTGCTTTAGACGCACGAGGACCACATTGGAGCGACTGTCTGCTGACTGACTGGTGCAAAAACCCACTTATTGAAGTGGACAAGGAAGGAGACACAGTGTTGGCACCGGTCCTCAGCAGGTTATTTATATTTTGGACGGAACAGCGATCAGGACTCAGCCTAAAAACACATGCTTCCGTTCCTCACTTACACTTTCCCCTGCTCCTGTTGTGGTCTCAGTGTCCAGAGGACATCCCGGGGAGATTTGCTTTAAATGTCTGGCTCTTCAGTGACGCAACATCGGGCACAAGCTGCATGAGAAACATATGCGTCGACAGGGCGTGAACTCGCACACACGAGCTTCATTCAAACCCGAACTAGCAGCCAGTTCATCCATTAAAAGCATTTGGGTTGATTTCACTCTCTGCCGCCCACGGTTGTTCTGAAGTCACATCATGGATCTGAAGGCGGACTCGGAGGACATGGACTTTAAACAACCAGCACCCATTGAAGTTTTCGCCAGCAGGTCCACGCTGCACGGCATCTCGCACATGTTCACTTACGAGCGGATGTGCATCAAGCGCAGCCTGTGGATTCTCTTCTTCCTGGGCTCGCTGGGTGTTCTGGTGCTGGTGTGCGTGGACCGGGTGCAGTTCTACTTCCAGTACCCGCACGTCACCAAGCTGGATGAGGTGGCTGCCCCCAAGCTGAAGTTCCCCTCCATCACCCTGTGCAACCTCAACTCCTTCCGCTTCACTAGTGTGACCCGCAACGACCTGTACCACGCCGGAGAACTGCTTGCCTTGCTCAACGGCAGGTGTGTGTGGTGTTTCCTGGTGTAGCTGTACTTGTGGGGTTACTGATGTTTGGGGGTCACTCCTGATGGGGACATTTTGCAGGTATTGAGTGAACTGGAATCCGAGGTTCAACATTTCAGAACTGGGCTTAGAATTAGTGCAAAGATTAAGTTTAATTATATTTTTGTAATATATATATATAAATATATGACATGCAGGGATACATACCCTTTTTTGTTGTTTTTGTAGTAGTTGTGACTGTGATTGAGCTGAGATTGAGCAAAGAATTTGAACATAAACCATGTTTATAATTTAATAATAGCCATAATGTCTGGTATTTGCAAGAAGAAACTCCCTATAAATAAAGTTAAATTTAAATCTTTAGGATTCTACCCTACAGTTTCATACCTTGCTCTTTGTGTTATTTTAGAAATAATATGCACTTATTAATGGGAACCTTGTAAATCTTTTAAATTGGTAGGTGGAGTCAAGCTTTAAAAGGGCTAAATATCAACTGTTGATGACTGGGTTTATATTTGAAACCAGGATTTGGGTTTTAATAGTACACCAAAGGGACAGTTTTTATTAGCCTTGGCATTTTTCCTTTTGTCATGACACAACAAATCAGTGTCTAATCCATACAGAATATTATTTTCCCCATAGAAAATAATTAGATAATGGCTTCACCACAGTATCGGGCAACTGGAACCGATGTCTTCAGACTTTGGCTGAAGCGTTACATTTTTTCCCTGCAGTTATAATTAAAACTGAGGCAGTCCTAGTTTAATTCAATAAAGTACAGTAAGTCTGGAAAGAACAGAAACTCTGTGCAAATGCTGACTTAAGTCATTCTCTAAATGTCCTGTAGTGGGTTGAAGGCAAAGTGCATTTTGCATTAGGTCCAGTAGTTTAACTGTGTGAGCAACAGCTGAATTTGGAAATGTGAATTACGACTATTTAAAGAATATAATGTGAAAAAGGTGAAAGAAAGGTTTTAAAGTAGATAACACACTTAACATTGAATTCTTATTTTGAAATAATTGAAACTCATTATCTTATTATTTCTCCTAACATGTAGTTTAAGGATATTTAACAACTGAAATCAACCCTTTACGCCCACAGATTTATCTATGAAAAGTTTCTGTACTTCTGACCACAAACTAAGAAAAATAAATCAAAAAGTTCTTCGCCAATCACATGACTTCTTCAGCTAACTCGATGATGAAGTGCAGTTCCTCAGCTCATCTTCTTCCAGTTCATGTGGAATGAACATCTCCATCGTGGTTAGATGGATAAGTAGATTTCTTTAAATCCCCTGCTGACTGAGGGTCTGTGTAATTCACTGCTGCCAGCGCTCTGTCTCTCCACACTTTTTAGTATTCTCTCGCTGCTTTGATCATTTAGTGTCTTTGGACGGCCATGACAAGCTCCCTGCGAGTCATTTTGAAACTTTTTGATTAGATTTCCTGGCTATTTTCTCCCTACGTCACTCGGCCCATTCTGATCATATTTGGCAGCGGTGCAGAGAATGAATATTTTCCATGTGTTCGCTCCACGGCAGAGCAGTGAATTTCCCACATAAACACTGTTATTATGCAGCAGAGGAAGTTCTTATACATCCGCAATCATTACTCTGTGTATTTTCACCATATTGATTCACGCTGCTCTGCAGCCTCGGGCACAATAGTAGAGCAGCTCTTGCTAGAATGACACAAATTCAATTTTTTCATGATTCCATGCTGAATGCGGTTGCTCCGTGATGAACCCCATACACTTCCAGATTGCAGGTGATAACCTTACAGGGAAGGAAACATGCACGGGGCGGTGTGGTGTACATTTCATGCATTGTCCTCGCAACATGGATTTATTTTTCTATGTTTGTGCTTTCTGTTGTATTGAAAGAGCCTTAAAGTCAACATAGTGTAGGTTTCAGCAGCTGGAGGTTATGTGCAGATTCTTGGCATCTATTTCCTGGAAGACGTAAAATGCAAATTACAAAAGGTTAAAAAAAACAAAACAAAATAAGAAGCAGAGTAAAATGGAACTATTAAAATTAGGAGCATTTTCTTCCAAATGGCTGTGGAAGAAGCTGAGTTTTGATGAAGGTAGGCGTCGACATGGTGAGACAATTACCTTCTATCTTCTGAGCTTGTACTGAACAAGTCTTCATCCCTGTGTAATTAGTAGCGTTTGTCAAACCACAAACAGTTTTTGTGTTGATTAACAACCGTTGTTATACAGAGCATCCCACCAATTTCTCTCCAAAGTCTCCAAAGTATTTCAGTGAGCGGTGTTGTTTGTCAGTCATTCATTGGCATTACTTGTGTAAAAAGGTGCAGTTTAATAAGGACTATTGGGGAAAAACACATCAATCAGGGTAACCTAGGGTCTCAGTTGAGGAAAAAAAAAAAGGTTTTCGAGGCTTCTTTAGACACTGCCTCTAAATAAACACTGATTGGAAGGAAAACATTTCAGTGTTCACCCTCTTGATGAAAGACAATGTGATTTCGGAATAAGTTTCCAAATGGAAAGTTTCAACATTGCCTCTCTGAAATACATCTCACTTTCTCCTCCGGGTCTTGTTTTTATTACAGCTTAAGGAAAGAGAGTCAACAGGAATCATTAGAGACACACGAGTTGACAATTGTCTGCTAGTGCGATTTTTTTTTTTTTTCAAGTCGTACCAGAGCTTTTAGTTTCTCCACTCCAGCAATTTCTTTTTTACCGGCAGGAGTAAAAACGCACTTTCTTATTGTGTTGTTGCTGATTAGAGTCACACTCAGCCAGGCAGAAAATCAGGTGTAATTGCTCAATTCTCCCTTTTTGTCAGTTTAAAAACAATTACGCAATCATTAACATTTTTGGAATAGGTGCTGTGTTGGATACAGAGCTGAGCTGAGAAGAGTTGAATCAGCTCGCCCAAAGTCAGAGAGGCGAGTCCTCTGCTTGCACAGTTCTCAGCCTTTAACATGTTTCCTGAGTTTGCAAACGTGCTCCCAATGTCATATAAAGCACAGTGGAAAGCGCTAACGTGATTTATTGCTTTGTTGGCTTTAACCCCCGTGTTCTGTTTCTGCAGGAAGATGGTTTTTCCTGCTGGGTTTGACAGGTGCGAAAAAATGTTTGGGAAGGTAGGGTGGTAAGGGCAGATCATTATGCAGACGGCAAAAACAGTAGGGTTGTCTGGATACTGTTTTTAAATAAATTGATACGACTAGGTCTGTTTTCATTTGTGTATCACAAATGTCACTGATACTTCTTTAGGTTGGGTTTCAATATATATGCAATGGAATGGAAATGTGTGTTATATAAAGTAGGTGTCACAGCTGTGTGGGATATACAGTCAGGTGCAGTGTGTAGATGTGATCTTAACCCAAACCAAGGTGCGGACACCAAGCAAGAAGATGCGTAAAGTCAATTTTACTTTCTTCTTATTAATGGAAAAATCATTTTAATACTGAAGGAAACAAGTCCTTCTGAATTAAACATTATTTTTAAAAGATAATTAGATGGATTTGACAAAGCAAGTTGAACAGAAACTGATCAGAGCCTTTACACCAGTAGTGCTTTAAATAGTAATTTCCGCTGTCTTTAAAAACATTAACTTATTCGGCACTTAAAAAATTAGCACAGTCAGCATTAAGACGCTTCTCCAAATGTTTCGTTAAGTGGCAAGTATCGTAGCAGAATGAATCCTTGCTCCCGCCCTTGTACCTGACGTTGATATACCTCCAAGTGGATGACATCGTTGACCTGCTTAAATAAAGTACGTCAACAAAGTATGGTACAAATATAAGTATTTACATGGGGCGGGGCCCAACACTGGTGACTATGCTGGGTGTCGTCGTTGAATTCTGTTCCTAAGGTGCAGCGTAACTTGCATACTGTCGCAGTACATACTGTATGTTACTCACCTATGCTAACCTATGCTAGTGGTAACAACCGGCGAACGGAAACAAAGCTAGCTTCTATCTTTGCGCCATGTATTCATCCGCTCTGCTCACTAGTTCCTGTGTGAAATTTACTTTAGTGCCATATTTCAGAATGATGAAACAAGACATAAATATACGAGAGATGGCGACATAACCACGAAAAGCAGTAGGTCAAGGATGTTGTGAACTGAGAACCCTGGAATTGTATCAATGTATTCCTAGAAAAAAGGTGGAATTGTTCCGTCATCGTAGTCCAGTGACTGGAGAGACATTGCTGTAGTGACTATAACACATCAACTCTGATTGATGTCTTTTCTCATTGTCTTTATTTGATTATTTCTATTGCTTTAATATAGAATAACAATGCCCTGCTTCGGGTGCCCTGTTGATTAGGTTATCGTTGAACCAAAGACTCCCTCCTGTTAATAACGCTCAAGGATGCTGAACAAACACTCCAGTCCTCATTAGTGTTGGTTTCCAAGTTCAATTGGCGCTAACTGGATAATAAGCCGATATTATATCAAGATGTGATTTTATTGTTTCCTCAAACAGCCTTCGCTATTACTGTTGCACCGTTCTTCAGTAATAAAATGGGATCACGATTTGCCATTCAGAACAAGTACAAAGACGCACACGTACACATCCATAAACATAATCACCTAAATATATTACACACACACGTCTCCAGGCTTTGCATGCACTCACTCGCTCCTCCCATGAGTTTTGCAAAGTGATGCAGATGTTGTTTTTTTTTTTTTTCCCAGTGAGAAAATGAAAGTGGTTGTGGTCCATAATCCAATTTGGACTCCCCTGTCAGTGTGTACAGAGTTTTCTGTGATTGCTTTTGGGAGCAGTGGCAGGGCAATATTAAAAATCCACTCTTATTGTAGTGATTGTATGTGCGTCGGCTGAGGTCTCCCGACTAAAGGATCAGTGCGCGGTGTCTGTACGGAGCTCTCTCTCTCTCTGCAGCTTTGTTCAGCTCCGTAACACACATCCATGGGATAAAGTGAATAGAGTTTAGAATAAAGTGTGTATCATGGAGGCTTCATGATGCAGTTTGGAATTCTGGCCAGATCAGTTTTATTCATATCTGCTCATGAAAGCCAAACACTGCAGCTTCATGTGATGATTTGACTGGGTAGTGCCAGTTCTTTTTTTTTTTTGTGTGTACTCCCCTCCATGGTAAATTTGAAAATCTACAGCAGGGGTCACCAACTTTACTTTAGAGAATTATTTTTGGGCCGGACACTCAAGTAAAAAAAAAAAAAAAAATCACATTTGTCTACCGTTATTATTTGATACTGATTTTGATATCCAGTCATGGGCCGGATTGGATCGATTGGCGGGCCAGTTTTGCTCCGTGGGCCACCTGTTGATCCACAGCAGAAAAATGTCTATAGTCAGGTTTATTTTCACGAGGCTGTTTCAAGCCAAACAAACATTTATGTCTGAATTAGACCAAACACTTTACAGTACTTCAGAATATTCAACGCAAAGGAGCATCTTCAGGTGTCATATCTTAAAAGGACAAATCTTACAGTAAGTCTCGCTCTCGTCTTTGTCCCTGATGTTAAAATTCCTCCAAACGGCTGCCATGGTCGGCCTACGTTATGAAAAGTACCCTGAAAACCAGTGGGGTAACAATGAATACTTGCTGACCACTGCAAACCTGTTTGTGGTGAAAGGCTGTTATGAAGTATTGGGTCTCTGCTGACTCAGCACTTTTTAGTAGTAGTAGTTGAATGATATTGATACTGGTGTTTGAATGGCTTGTATCCTTAGTGTAAACAAAAGATGTAAATATACACTGCCACTACTCACATACACCTAGGACTAAACAAATGTTAAACAAGACAATATCTGTTATCTGTTTTATTTATTTTATTAATTTATAAATTGCACTTTATATATGTTATACCTTTTTAAAATTTAATTTGAAACCCAGAAAATCAATTATATTTTTCTCTACCGACAAACGTTACCATTACAGTTTTCCACCGATATCGGAGGCTGTCATGATAAACACTGCTGTCACTTTTATTTAGTCAGATTTGAAACAAACTTTATCTAGCACACCAATCCCTGGACATTGTCCTGATCCATAATTCAAACATCAAGTCCTTTTTAAAAATCGTTCTCATTTCCTGTTTGGTGACTGCTCAAAGAGTTAGACATGCATGAAGTAAACATGCATTTGTGTGAGGTCACTTGCCCCTCTTTAGTGCTCTAACTGTATTAGTTACCAAAATTGGTCTGTGCGTTTCAGATAGCGTTACATGTAACGGTTTAAATAATTGGTCTGACTACAGCGTTAACACTCGTCTGGCTGTTTTAAGTGGTGTCTGGGTGGTCCGTCAGACGGCTTTTATCCATTTTAAATATCCCTCTTGAGCCATAAATAAATGAAAACAGCGATGCTATGTTGACTCGGAATGTAATGTGAATATATATTTAAAAAAAATACAGGATGTTGTACTACATGTATTTATATTATATTGGAAATACAGCTCTTTCTGTGTACTACCTACATGTCATCACCACGGCACTGCCATTCACAGGCTGAGGTATGTGGAAATCCTCTGTGGAACGATGTGCAACCAGCTGCTGTATCTTGTGACTGATTATACTGATTTTTTTATTATTATTTATATTTAAATTATATTTATAATTGAAATCTAAAGCTCTGTATTGAACAATAAGTTTTGTTTAATGTGGTCAAGAAATGATATCCAAAATATACAGAAGCATATTGCTGCCACAGAAACAATTGGCTCAGTATCACGTAATTACGCGATAACTTTCACGTTATTTTGTGTTTGGTTTCACGCATTTACGTGATAAGTTTTACGGTATTTTGCGATAAGTTTCACATTATTTCGCGATAATAATAACTTTCATGTAATTGGGTGTTAGGTTTCACGCAATTACGTGTTAAGTTTCACGATATATCGCGATAATACCTTTCACGTAATTACGTGATGTATGAAATGATGACTGAAAGTCCTCCTGCGAGGCAAGATTATGGCTAGTTCATGTAATTACGTCAACGTTATCACGAAATGACGTGAAACCTATCAGGAAATAATGTGAAACTGAGCCAATTTTGTTTTCTCTCAGTGTGGCAGCAATATGCCTCCGTACTCTACTGTAAAAATATTCTATCTGCAAAGGAAATAATTAAGAACCTTATATTTTATTCATGGATTAATGTATATTAAGGCACAAATCCTGCTGAGGAGCACAGACACTGCATGACCTTGTGGAATTAACCAAAAAGTACATGAAGATTTACTGCCAATTATGGTTTTAAAAATAGAGCTCACATTCAGAGGAACAATTCTGCCGTCAGCCTCCTGTCTGAGGAGAAGGCTCGGCGTTAGCGCCTCTGTCCATCGTGGTTTTCACTTCTGTGTTTGCTTCCTTGGGCTTCACTAATGTCAATGAATGAATAGCAGAACCTTCTCTATGGGATAGTTGCAGCTCTTTTATATTAAACCGAAATTCATAGATTTCTATCAGAACAGTGCTGTAGGAAACAAACGAGGAAATGGAATAACTGTTACGCCGTTCTGACCCCATTGGACATTTCCTTTTTTCAGTGTCTCGCTCACCGAAACCGTCTGTTCCATGACAAACAGTTCTCATCAGTGTCTGTCAGTGCTGCTTAATTTTAGCAGTCCATAATTTTAGCACTCACCTCGCTGATGACCCATCACTCAGCAGGGGTCATCAGCGGGCTGCCGTTTTTTGTCGTGTGTAGGGCCACACTAGTTAATTGAGGTTAATTCAAATCTGTGAGTGACTGTTAGCAGGTGCTGGAGGCTGATGGTGGTTTTCAGCAGAGGCACGTCACAAATGACACATCGTTGCTTCTGAAATTGTGTGTAAATGTGTGTGTGCGCGCGCATCCAAATGTGCACGTGTCTGTGCATGCGTGTGTGTGGCTGTGTGCAGAGAGGACAGAACAGGTGGCAGTGGAGTGTGTGCGCGCCTCCCCTTCAGCGAACACCTGATTTTGTGTTGTGACAGATGTTAAGTGAAGTGTTTCGCTTTTAGTTAAAGTTGATTTATTTTTATTTATGCCTTCCCGCAACATTAGCATCACACGCCTAACATGAGGAACATTGTTATGCTTACGACGTGAAAACGATCTGCCTCCGCCGTCGATCCTAATTATGTGGGCGATTGATTAACAGTGTTGTTTGGAAGTAAAAGTTCCCATCTTTCAAGTAATGAGCTGCTTCCTCCCACTCAGCACTACCTGCCGTGGCTCGGTCGCCACAGTTCAGCTGCCAAATTCAGGAAGCAGCTTTATTTTCTGGTGAGGTATGGCTGCTGGCAGGTCTGGGACAGTTGCCATGCACAGCGTACAGTTAGCAGATGAATTTGCATTATTTGCTACATTTATAAACATAAGTGCATTAAAAAAAATCCAGGGTCCAAACCAGGGTTTAAACAGTGTTTACCTGTGGCATGCAGATGATAAAACTTGAGAGATTTTAACATTTGAAAAATGCTGGTAACGAGCCTCACCAAGCTCCTGGCAGTGAGTGAGTCTACGACTGACAAGCCGACTGACACAACTGACTAATTGTTGAGGACAACAGCCTCACCCAGACTTTCAAAGCAACTCAGTGTGTTCAACAAGACACTGACTAAAATCCACCAACTTTATGAAGATACATTTCCAGCTATACTTTAGCATGTTTTCACAAACAGAAGCACACATACATGTATACACACAAATATATACAAATGTATTTATGTATATCTACATATATATATGTGTGTATATTCACATATACATACATGTCTGCTGTTATTTCTGTTCCAGAAAGCAACAACAGTTTTTTTTTTGGCCATAGTTAGGTAGATTTTTTTTATTATTAATTACAATTATCCATGTATAATAAAGACTAATTGTGATTAATCAAGAAAGTCTTAAAAGGTCCATCATGTATTCCATAAGGACAGGAAGAAATCACCGTGTGTGAGGTCGAGGCAGGCTCTGCTAATGAACGTGCTTGACCTTTGGGCCATTTTTATTACAACGTGCTTAAGAAAATCCTTGTCAAGGACACACGTTTCTATAATAGTCTTCTACGTCATTGCAACCAGCCCTGTTAAGAAAGGACCAATCAGACCACAGAGATGTCTTCTATGGCCTGGTGAGTCCAAATATTTGTGAGAATTCTTAAACCAAACTTTTGTTCATCCCATCCAGGTATGAGATCCGGGACCCACACCTGGTGGAGGAGCACGTCCTGCAGGTCCTGAAGGAGAAGGCCAACTTTGACAGCTACAAGCCCCGCCCCTTTAACATGCGCGAGTTCTACGACCGCACCGGCCACGACATCAAGGACATGCTGCTTTCCTGCTTTTTCCGTGGCATGGAGTGCAGTGCTGAAGACTTCACAGTGGTGAGTCAGAAATATCAATGCATTTTCACGTGTGTGCTCCACCTGCTGAGTGAAGCATCACCTCCGTGTACCTGTGTCACAACGTCCTTGAGAGAGAAGATCTGAGCGTTACACACCAACATTCCTGCAGGGTCAACTTCCACGCTTGACCTTTGTGTATTCCTTTATTTTTCAAAAGCAAAACACACATTAAAGATGAAAACTTAACCTTACGACAGGGTTGTAACAATGGAATTGGTGATTAAGAAAGAGGTTCCCAAAGTGGGAGGCGCGTCCCTTTTGGGGGTGCACTGCCATTGCAGGGTGGTGCGGATCGAATAAATGAATGAAAGTTACTGCAGCGTATTGTCCAATGCTGTAAATGTTTAACACATAGATTGGTTGAAGGCGCCTTAAAATGAATATCTGATAATTCTATTGTAAAAAAGGCTGTTATTTTTAATTCTGTGTTTTTATGAACCAGGGTGGGGCAGTAGAAACAATTTGCCACTGGAATGGGAAATTAAGAACTACAGGCCACGCTGGGAATTTTCCTTTTTTTTTTTTTTTTTTTTGGAGCTTGTGTTTGTTGTTGTCGTCTTCTTTTATCTTATTCCATGGAGCATTTGCGACCTTTGGTATCTGCTGTAGAGTGAACAGATCCATCAAGTACAGCACGGTAGCATCTGCGAAGCTGCCTGAAGCACCTGGTATTTATCTAAGGCATCGTCTTAGTGTGATACTGTCCATTAAAACATCTAGTCCATGTAAAGCTGCACAGTTCATCTTGGAGAAATTGTTTTTTTTAAAGACTTGCAGATGAGGTGATTTTGTAGATGAAGAAGAAGAGTTCTGTGGCAATGCAAAAATGGACATCTGTGCGTGTCCATAAATGACAGTGCAGCGTTACTCTACATGATGTGGAGCAGCAGATGGGAGACAGACAGTCCCGGTTAGAGACGGCAGCAGTAAAAGACAATGGCGGTGACGGGAATTGTCAACTGAGTGACAGGAAAAGAATTAGGTCTGATGCAGTCACAGCCTCACAGTTAACAGAAGCCCACGCTTTCTCATAGAAAGTCTCATAGTAATACGGTCTGCTGAGCACTGTCCTTGATAGTGGCCTGTTTATGATCTTTAATTACCATCTTAATTATTATTTATTTTTAACAGACACGTTGTCACATCATTGCGAACTCATAATCAGACACCTGCCAGATGAAGGCAATAAAAGCCCGTCCTTAATTTGACAGAGAGACCGAGGTCGTCTGTGTTCCAGTGTGAGCCTAGCTGGTATGTAGAGCTATACTTGTGGGGACAAATTTGCAGGTCCCCACTGAGTGGATTGGTATGTTGAGGTTCGATATTTAATGTGTTTAGTTCCGATTATAATTAGAGTCAGATATAAGGTGAGGCCAAAGGGTCAGGGAATGCATTGTTTCTGCGTGAGGTGCTTGCAAAGCACAAAAACCAGTGTGTGTGTGTGTGTGTGTGTGTGTGTGTGTTCTGGGTCACGGGGGAGCAGTAGCAGCAGGTGTGTAATGATGATGGCATCTCATTTACTACTGCTGCTGTGTACCAGTGAAAAAACATGTAATATTTATTTTTAAGATACGTGCTTACTTTGTCGTCAGCAACAACGGGAAAGTTGTTGTTCAGAACACGGCAGGCAGGGGTCACTGCACAGAGGCAGTGGTCATGGGAACAGCTACGATAATGGTGACTAATTTTGAAGAAAAAATAAAAATATAAATAAAATAAAAATCTAATTATTGGTTCAGTATTATGTGTTCTGCTGATTATTTTCACCTTCATGGAGCAGACTTCTCATCAGAGCTTGTGAGTCATTTGGGTGCAATAATAGTCTGAGGTAATAATAATAAAAAAAGACTAGTGGTTGGTTATGGTTATGGTTCAGTTTTAGAAAGACACTGATGTGGATTTCATTTATTAGGACACTGGAACCAGATTAGATCAGATTAGGCTAGATTCCATTTGATCTGATTTGATTAGGTCAGATTATATTATCATAGATTGGATTAGATTAGATTGAATTAAATCAGATTAGACACAATTTAAATCTATTGTCATTTCATGTCACAGCTACAGAGCAGTGAAATACAGATTGCATCTGTAGAACGAGTGGATATACATTTAAATAATGTAATTCACATTTGAATAGAAATAGTGCTAATATATACAGTAATACACCATTTGAATAAAATAATAAAAACATGTATTAGTGGAACAGTACAAAGGTGTTGCCTTAATGTATATGTATAAAATGGGATAAATATACAGAATGCATATGGAATATACAGGAGGGCTGCAAAGTACAGAAGGGATGGATGGTTGGATGGATGGATGGATGGATGGATGGATAGATGGATGGATGGATGGATGGATGGATAGATGGAGAAAGATGAAATATGTTTGAACTTAGCACAGAGCGCCTCCTGTTGAAGGTTCTCAGGTGGTGTGCTCTAGGCACACTCTACATGTTCAAATGAGTTTTTCAGTTTGATTTGCTGGACTCCTGTCACTTTACTTCTACAACATGATAGACGGCTCTCCCTGATCCAAAATACCGTGCCAATTCCTAAATGTAGGAGTAAAATTTGTGTGGAGACTTGTGTGTAAATCTGCCCCCGGGGTTGAAGCCTACACCCCATCCTTCAGTGGCCCTTTGGGACCGAATACCTCATGACTGGAGCACTTTCATTTCTCTATCCCATAAACTCATGTAGTACAAGGGCAGGTTGCGACTCAGCCCACATGGTTCGGCTCCTCTGCTGTGCTGATGTGTTCACATTTACAGTGGGTTGTTAAGCTAAAGGCAGATGGTGCTTTGCAGGACTTTACTGTATTAATACAGTAGTGGACCTGGATGGAACAGCTCAGCAGAGAGCACTAATGGGGCAGAAAGAATTTTTACTGTGATAGGAACAGACAAAAAAAAAAAGGAAGGATGAAGAAAACTCCCACCAACCTCTGGCTGTAAACCCCAGAGCATGAAGGCAGTAAAAGTGTGATTAACGTTGTCTGCAGCTTCTGCTTGTTTACTCCTGGCAGTGGCACCGCGCTTCACCGGCTGCACGCTGGCTCTGGAAGATATCAAGAAACAAATGGTCTCAGCTGCGCGTGACATTCAAGTTCTCACCTACTGTGTTCTATCAGACCTCGGTTAATGACGGAGAGTTAGGATCTAAGCAGAGAAATAAGGACTCGCTTGAAAGAACGGTAGTGTTCGCGCTAAACTGGAAATTGTGATAGGAGACAGTCAAAAAGTTCCAGGACGGGATGTTGTCGTCTCAAGGCACGTCTCTAAAGCCGTGTTTTGGGCATCAGCTCTTTTTCGATGTACTGTTCTATTTTCTTGTCACGTGACTCAGAATCAATGTAGACTCTGTGTTGTACAGTAACAGAGCAATGTTATGTTCTCAGAAATGTGTTATATTTGACCCTTTGGGGGGGTCTGAGTTCTGAATGGGGGGAAAGGGGGGCTCAGATCCTATGACTGTATGTACTTTGATTTCCAGACACTTACTATGTTAAATTAGTTCACTCTCTCTCCCTTCCTCCCCTGCAGTTCCGCTCACTGACTCTCTGCCTCTGAATATAATTATATATAAATACAACCAATTAAGGTGACCTGCAGCTACTGATAATGCCCTGCCTATGGCTGTGTTTGCAGTACGTCGCTGCTTTCTTTCCGTTTCACAACACCCACGTCTGACTTCAGTCACCGGGGAACCCCCCCCCCCCTCTCCCCCCGATGTTAACGTAGGACACTGATGCAGAGACAAACGACAAATCACGGAGGAAAAAAAAAACAGAGAAAAAGAAGACAGTGAAACAAAACCAAACAACTTGGCCCCGGAGTCCTCGACATGGGACTGAACATAATGGTCAAGTGTTGCATAAAGACACACAGCGGCTGCCACAGCTGTAGCAACGGTGGCAGTGCTACCAGGATACACACACACACATACACACAGGTTGCCGTTCAATTACCGTCTCACACAGTGCGGCCTATCTCCATTTTCCAGCTGCACCGTAGTTTGTTGGAGCACAATGATGTATGGCAACTCAACAGGTTGCTATTATCCAGCCGTACAGTTTTGCACAAAATCCTCCGCACTCAACACAAAAGGCCGAAACCACAGAAAAACACAGGATGTGGTTGAAACATTTTTTTTCTTCATTTCCCTAATGTTTCCTCAGCAAATTATAAAATGGTTTCCTGATATTTGTTGTTGAGGAAAATCAGAGGTTTGAGCAGGGAAGAGTGGCTATCATATAAATGTTACTGTCACGCTGAGGTAGTTAAGACTCCAGCAGCATTCGTCATAAAAAAATAACTATTACAATATATATATGTATATCTATATACATATATGTAAATAGATATACATATATGTATGTATATATATATTATCATTGTCATTTTCCTTGAAAAACTGTAGTTGTAGAACGGTGCATCCCTCACCTGCTCTGATTCAGTGATTTCCTTCATATTTTATGGCTTTCAACTATGGCTGGATCAACGGAGGTCATTTTGAAGGAGTTGTCAGTCTTTTAAAGTTGCATTAACAAGTATATGTACATTATATATGTCTCTCGGCCAACACAGTTTTAATGTCTTACCTAGAAAGTTTAACAAAGTCAAATGAACTGTTTTACTATCCGTATATCCTGTGCCAGCAGAAACTATTAAAGTCACTACCATTTTGTTGATTTCTTAAGGGCGAGTCAAAGCAGGGGTTGTCACAAATGGATTTGATGATGCTGAGGTCAGGGGTCTGCAAAAGTCAATGTGTGTTGTTTTGTATGTATATATTTATGTGTGTATATATAAACCCATACATGTATACAAATATATGTACACCGCGCAATGGGAAAAATTTGCAGCAGAGGCGAGATAGTTATTATAGTATATATTTACCCTTAACGATCCTCCTCCACACTGTTATCAACCCTCCCTAGACTGTATTAGCCTTTCCCACATAATTATATCCACA